TACATAAGCTGGAGGCGGAAGAAGATCCGGTAGCAGTTCCGCTTACTCATGAGACCTTCTGGGTTCAAATCTTTAAACTGCTGATGCATTACTTCACCGAGAAGACCGCAGAACTCATTGGGAACAAGCTGGGGGTGTTTGTGGAGGCTGATGGCAATAACTTTAGAGGGGGAGCAAAGAATTTATGAGAGTCAGGGTCTCCCTTAATGTGAGTAAACCTCTCAGAAGAACATTAACCTTGCGAAGAGGGGGGGAGACTGTTTCAGTGGATGTGAAGTACGAGAGGTTGCCGCATTTTTGTTTTATATGTGGGCTCATGAATCACGTGGACAAGTTCTGTCCTAGAAGGTTCGAGGTGGGCGAAGAGGATCAGGCAAGACAGTTTGGAGCATGGCTAAAGGCGGGTGGTAGAAGGGGAAGTTCGGGGCGTGGGAGTAGGTGGCTAGTTAACAGTGAAGGCAAGTTCCTGGATGAAGCTTTGCATGCTAGCGGATCACTATTGATTCGAGATAAAGCTACTGGGCTGGAGTGTGAGGAATCAGGTGAAGGGAACAGCCTGGACCTTTCTTCTGCGGTTGGGGTTCTTGTGAAGAAAAGAAAATCGAGGAGTTTGGAGCCTGGGACTCAGTGTGAGGATGTTTCGGCAATGGAGGTAATTCTTTCAAAAAACGTAGAGGCGACGGGACCTAGATACCAGGCCCGCCGAGAATCATGAGTTGCTTTAGTTGGAACTGTCGTGGGCTCGGCAATCCGGCGACAGTTCAAGTGTTGGTGGATTATGTCCATCAAAAGAAGCCGTCTTTAGTTTTCTTGATGGAAACTTTTGCTACTAGACCGAAAGTGGAATGTGTCATGCGAAAAGTGGGCTTTAGTTCTTGCTTTGTGGTGGATTGTATTGGGCATAGTGGGGGTCTGGCCTTGATGTGGAGGGATGAGCTTCAAGTTAGTATATGTGGCTCGTCTTCGAATTTCATTGATGCTAGGGTTCAATTGGAATCGGGCAGCCCCTTGTGGCGTTTTACAGGTTTTTATGGGTATCCAGACCGTGTTCGGCGGAGGGATTCTTGGGAGATGTTAAAATCCTTAACGACGAGCCCACACATTCCTTGGCTAGTCATGGGGGATTTTAATGATCTCATGGTTGATTCCGATAAGCGTGGACGGGTTCCTCACCCCCCTGGCTGCTTAGGGGGTTCCGGGAGGCAGTTTGGTCGAGTGGGCTGCAGAATTTTCCTTTCCAGGGCTATCAGTTCACTTGGGAAAGGTGGAGGGGGACAGATAATTGGGTGGAGGAAAAACTCGATAGGATTTTGGTCTCGACTGACTGGCTTGATATTTTTGGAGGAGCTACCGCGGAATCGTTGGAGGGGGCTCCAAGTGATCATCTAGCTTTGTTAATAAAGTTAACGGCAACTCGGACCTTTCACCGCAAAAGTAAATTTAAATTCGAGAATATGTGGCTCAGAGATGAAGATTGCAGGTCCATTGTAGCGAGGAGCTGGGGTATGGCGGCTGGTACCGGGATTATGCAGCATATTGATAGTTTTAGTAAATCTGTGGGTGTGTGGGGAAGAACTAAAGTCGGAGATTTGGGGAAGAGGATCAGTTTTTGCAGGAAACGATTAGAGTTTTTGCGCCGTTTTTCAGATGACTGACACCTGGAGACCTTTGGGAGAGTGAAACAAGAATATCTGGAATTACTGGAGAGGGAGAACTTATTTTGGCACCAAATAGCTAAGGAGTTTTGGTATAAAGGAGGGGACCTGAATACCCGGTATTTCCATAATTCTGTTAAACAAAGGCGGAGGAAGAATAGAATTGAAGGCCTACGAGGGGAGGGTGGTTCCTGGGAGTCTGATAGGGAGGATCATTAGGTTTCCAAGAAATTGGATGATTCCCATAATGCTTTGCTGACTCAACCCGTTTCAGGAGAGGAGGTCAAGGCGGCTGTTTTCGCTATGTATCCGGAGAAATCACCAGGCCCAGACGGTCTAAGCCCAGGTTTCTACCAGCACTATTGGGACGTGGTGGGACCAGAAGTTACCCAGTTCTGTCGTGATGCCTTCTCATCAGGTAAGTTGCCTGATAGGATTAATCATACCAATATTGTATTAATTCCTAAGAAGGATAATCCTGAAGTGATGGGGGACTGGAGGCCTATAGCGCTCTGTAATGTCATTTATAAGATTTTTTCTAAGGTTCTGGCTAATAGATTGAAGAAGGTCTTACATTTATGTATTTCGGAGCAACAAAGTGCGTTTATACCTGGCAGATCCATTATTGATAACATCATGATTGCCTTTGAGTCCCAACATTTTTTGAAAAGAAAGAATCAAGGAAAGGAGGGGTTTGTCAGTTTAAAATTGGATATGAGTAAGGCGTATGATAGGGTGGAGTGGTCGTTCTTGGAAGGAATGCTACATCATTTGGGTTTTGTGGATCATTGGGTTAGAGTGGTGATGGAGTGCGTCTCATCGGTTTCTTATTCCATTCCTTTTGATGATGCTGAAATTGGGCCGATTCTGCCCACCCGTGGGTTGAGATAGGGGACCCTTTATCTCCTTACTTATTTCTTTTGATTGCAGAAGGTCTGAGTGCTCTGTTGAAGAAAAATGAGTTGGCTGGCCGTGTTCATGGTGTCGCTGTAGCTCGCGGGGCTCCTAGAATTTCCCACTTATTGTTTGCAGATGATAGTTTACCGTTTTTCAAAGCTAATCATAGCGAGGCGTCTTGTGTGAAGGAAATTCTGAGTGAGTACGCTTCAGCCTCTGGCCAGGTAATAAACTTGAATAAACCAAAAATCTTTTTTAGCCCCAATGTTACGTCTGACTATAAGGAGGGGTTAATGGAGCTATTGGGTGTGGGGCAAGCTGGTAATGAGGAGTTGTATTTGGGTTTGCCAGCTTTAATTGGGCGAAATAAGAAGGCGGTTTTGTCTTACCTAAGGCAGAGGATGGTTAACCGTATTCAAAATTGGAATAACCGGTTCTTATCGAAAGCAGGACGGGAAGTGTTGCTTAAGTCTGTGATCCAGGCAATGCCAAATTATGCGATGAATGTCTTTCTCCTCCCGAAAGAATTGTGTAAGGAGATAGAAATTTTGATGAATGGTTATTGGTGGCAGGGGAAAAATAGTAAAGGTATAAGGTGGTGCTATTGGGATTCTTTGTGTCGGCCCAAGAATTTAGGTGGGATGGGCTTTAGGAAGCTGCGGGAGTTCAATTTATCTATGCTTGCTAAACAGGCTTGGTGGTTTTTGACGGAGCCTGACACTTTAGTGGGGAAAGTTTATAAATCACGGTATTTTCGAGAAGGGAATTTTTTCTCTGCTAAACTTGGTTCTAACCCGTCTTTTATTTGGCAGAGCATTTTACAAACTCAAGATATCATCCGCAGTAGCTACTATTGGAGAGTGGGCCGGGGGAATAATGTTAACATCTGGTGTGATCCGTGGCTACCCGATAAGAGTGGACCTATGGTGATTTCAGACCCCATCCAAGGGCTGAAGAGGGCAACGGTTGAAAGCTTGCGGGTGGCTGATGGTTCCAAATGGGATTTGGATCTTTTTCGTGATATCTTTGTTCAACGAGATGTTCAACTAATTCAAGGGATATCGATTAGCTACAGGCAGATTCCAGACAAGATTTGTTGGAGACGGGAAGATTCTGGGAGATTTTCCATTCGTAGTTGTTACAGGGCTTTAGTTGGAGAGTTGCAGGTGAGTAGTTGGATGGGCTGGACATCTATGTGGGGCTGGAAGCTTCCTCCTAAAGTCAAGAATTTTTTTTGGCAGTTATGCAGCGGTTTTTTGCCTACGACCGAGAAGCTGAAGTCGCGGAGAGTTAATTGTGACGAGAAATGTGGGCTGTGTGGAGGAGCCGAAGAGTCTCTGCTCCATCTGTTTTACTTTTGTCCTGTGGCTTCTACAGCTTGGCGGGCAGTGCAGTGGAAGTGGGCATCTAGTTCGGCTTCAAGCTTCCTGGAACAGTTGGAGGTTGAATTCCGAGTAAAAAAGGAGGAGGATTTGCACAAGTTGGTTTGGGGGTGCTGGGGTTTATGGTGCGAAAGAAATCATAGAGTTTGGAATGGGGTGTCAACTGATGCTAAGTTTATTTTACTGAAATCTCAAGTATTTGTTGATGGATGGATCCTGGCCTAGCAGCAGGGAGGTAAGCAGGTAGTCCATGGTTCGAAGGTTAAAGAGCTCTGGCGGTGTCCTCGGCCTGGCAAATTGAAGCTGAATATTGATGCTCCTGTCAAAGCTAGTGGGACTGGGTTGGGTTGGCTACTGAGAAACGAGGAGGGCAGTTTTGTTGCAGGAGTCTCCAAGCCGTGGCAAGGGTGTTTGGCTCCTTGGGAGGCGGAATTGGTCGGAATTCGGGAAGCTCTTAGCTGGCTAAAAGAAAATAATTGGGATGCGGTCGATGTTGAGTCCGATTCCTCCAAGGCTATTTCAGAAATTCTTGAAGGATCATGTCTTTCTTTCGTCGGGATCTTGGCGGGAGATATTAGAGAGCTTCAGTCATCTTTTTCTGAGATTTCATTTTCTCACGTTAAGCGATCAGCGAACAAGGCAGCTCATGCTTTAGCTAAAGCAGCCTGTTCTATGTCTGATAGCACTTGTTGGTTTGATTTTCCTCCTAATTTTATTGTTAATGTCCTAAACAATGATGCTATTAATGTCAATTGATTTTTCTTTTTGCAAAAAAAAAACTATCACAATAACAAACATGCTATTAATTAAAATGATAATAATCATAATTGTAATTGTAATATAAAAAACAACAAAAACAATGATCACAATAAAAACTAAACACAACTATCACAATAACAATACTTTTACTATAAATGAAACAGCGATAGAATTATTCATACCAAATAAAAAATATAGACCAGATCAACTTATTTTCATAATCAAAATCAACTTTTTTTTTGCAATTTCATACCAAATTAGATGTTACAAATTCAGATAATAAGCACTGAAGAGCAACATCCACCAAACTAAACAGAAATGATTGTCTTTTTCGCCCTTAACCACAAAAGGGTCGATAAATACCACTTCCCAAAAATCTAAGCAAAACCTGGGCGGTCCGATCAATTTCCACTCTTAGTTGTGGCAGCAAGGAGTCAGTGAGGAGAGGGCGAAGCCATTCCGGGCCTGATCGTAGGTTTTCCACCTATTGCAGTTAGCGTGTAAAGGTTCTAGGGTTTCTGGTCGCCTTGCCATAGGCTTCGGTTTCGTATTTCGCCGGAAATGGCTGGGAATCACGTCATCTCAGACGACGAAGGTTGTTTCCGGCTTTCATTATGTTAAAAATCATATTTTTTTATCTGATATATGTATTTTGTGCGACCGGTTGATGTTGATAAAATTTGTGTGCAGACGAGGTTGGAGTTGAGGAAGAGGAGCGCGACGAGGAGCCCGCGGACGGGGAAGATCTGGAGGAGGAGCGCGAAGAGGTCGAGGAAGAAGAGGACGAAGAAGAGGACGAAGATGGTAATGACCGATTCTTATCAATCGCTAAACCCCTGCGATTTATCTTTCGATTAAAGTTTTTTTTATATTTCAGCCCCTTCATGGTAATCAGGATTTGTATGCTTAAACATTTGATTTTTGAGGCAAAGTTGCATGCATTCTTCGAATGTACGGATTTTTAAATCTGCATTTAATGCCTCATGCTGGTTAGCTTGGGCAATGCTTTGCTGCTAGGACTTTTTATTTTCCATGCAAATAACCAATGGTGAATGTTAATGACAGATGAAGGGCAAGACGAGTTTGAAAAGGATGGATTTATTGTAGACGAAGATGAGGAGGAGGAGGAAGATAGAGCAGACAGCGACGAAGAGAGACACAAGAAGAAGAAAAGAAAGAAAAGGTGATAACTTCTTATTTGTCACTCATTTATAAGTCTCTAGAGTCACTCTTATTCATGGTCTTGTTTACTGGTTGCTTAGGGAGTCTGAGAGGAATTATGAACTTGATGCTGAAGATTATGAACTTCTGCAAGAGAGCAATATACCTGTCAATCGTCCAAAACTGGTGTGTTTTCTTTTAGCACTCTATCTCCTCCTCTATACTGTAATGTTCTGTTTTTCCCCAAGTCCTGTCACTTTATTAAAATTGTTGCCTTAAATTGGACAGGGGAGCAAAAAATTCAAGCGGCTGAAAAAAGCTCAACGGGATACAGAAGAAGGGCGTTCTGGTTTTTCTGAAGAGGAGGAATTTGATGACTCTGGCAAGGGAGGGCGTTCAGCTGAGGAGAAGCTTAAGCACACTCTATTTGGTGACGATGATGGTAAGTGCTATCAGTTTCTTAAGTCATGTTTGCTTGACTTGATGTTGATAATATTTGGACTGATTTTCTTGCAGTACAACCACTTGAAGATATTGCTGAGGAAGAGCAACCAGAGGAAGATGAGGAGGATGCAGATATGGGTGAAGAAGATGAAATGGCCGACTTTATTGTTCACGAAGACGAGGATGGTGCTCCTATGAGGTATATAAGGATTTCATACATTCTACTTTTCTAGTCATTTCACTATTGTTCCTCTCATGTTGCTTATTTCTATATTTTGAACAGACGGAAGAAAATGAATAAAAAGAAATCCAGACAGGCACCCGGGGTTTCATCTTCTGCACTTCAGGAAGCTCATGACATATTTGGTGATGTTGATGAGCTCTTAAGGCTTCGCAAGCAAGGTTTGTCAAAAATGGGTCATTATGATGAAGCTAGCGAATGGAGGGAAAGGCGGCTTGAGCATGAATTTGAGCCTATTATCCTTTCTGAAAAATACATGACTGAGGAGGATGAGAGGATTCGTGAAATTGATATCCCAGAAAGAATGCAGGTTTGTACAACTTAAAGTGTCTTATTTTGGTATAATCTTTCTTCTCCATTCTCTGTGCCACAGATGATGAGTTTGCCTTTTATTTGTCTTCATGTTATGGATTTGTTGACTAGTAAGTCATATGTATTTTATTTAGTTATCTGAGGCAAGCACTGGTTCACCTACGGATGAGATGGATATAAGTGAAGAGACTAACTGGATATATAACCAACTTCGCTTGGTATCCCCTTTCAACAAGAGAGCCACAGGGTCAAGTGAAGAAGGAAATGAGCTTCCAATTGACAAGGATGATATTATGAGATTTTTGGATCTAATGCATGTTCAAAAATTGGACGTGAGTAGTTAACTCTGAATCTTTGGGAATTCATTTTTTCTTTTCAGCTGATTTTCCATATTTTGGGAATAAGGGTTGGATGCTGTTGTTTGTTGTTGTAGCTGATTTTCCCTGTATTTAAATATAATTTGAATTCCTTGTAGCTACCATTTATTGCTATGTATCGGAAGGAGGAGTGCATGACCTTGCTGAAGGATCCAGACCAGGGTGAAGTTGACAATTTTGAGAACGCGTTTGACAAAAAACCAGTGCTGAAGTGGCACAAGGTAGTCACTTTACCATAATTTATGTATTCACTGCTTTGTTAAAATAACGCAAATACAAAGAATAGAGTTGTTAATGTTGCTGCGCTGCAGGTGCTTTGGGCAATTATGGATTTAGACAGAAAGTGGCTTCTTCTTCAAAAGCGAAAGACTGCCCTCCAGTCATATTATAGCAAACGCTTTGAAGAGGAGTCTCGCAGGGTGTATGATGAAACAAGGCTGAATCTGAACAAACAGCTTTTTGAATCGATTTGCAAATCACTTAAAGCAGCTGGGTCAGAAAGAGAAGTTGATGATGTTGATTTAAAGTTTAACCTACACTTTCCACCTGGTGAAATTGGTGTAGATGAAGGTCAATTTAAGAGGCCAGCAAGGAAATCAGACTATAGTTATTACAGCAAGGCTGGGTTGTGGGAAGTTGCAAATAAGTTCGGTTACAACTCTGAGCAATTTGGGCTGCTGATATCTCTGGAAAAAAATGTATGTTTGTTTAGATTCCCTTCAAGTATCTAAATAAACTACTTTTTGAGCATGTACAATGCATGGAAAGAAACAAGATGGTTCTAGGGTAATTATTGTGATAAATTTGAGTGTAAAATATAGTCGAGAATCAAAATGCTCCCCCCCACACTCAGGTATATACTCCCCTCCCTCTGCTCATTATACCTGTTGTAGTTATGGATCCAGTTGCAGTCATATTTTAACTATTTCTCAAATACTTTTATAATTAAATAATTTAGTCACAACTTGATTTTTTATATTTTTTTCTAACAGATCTTAAATTTGTAAGATTTAATTATTTATTTAAATATTTATTTTTATTTAAATTAAATATCTCAGAGCACAATTGAGATTGGTTTTCTTTTGTTTAAATTAACTACCTCAAATAATCATTTATTTAAATTAAATGGTTCATTAAACTGTTCACGCTTCTTTGTTATGAATCAGTAGCCAATCCATGCAATTTTTGACGCGATTTTCACTATCGGTCATGCGGAAGCTGTCTCTCTGTATTTGTAGTACATGGGTAAGGCTTTGCAGCACTGGGGGTAATGACGATGATGATGATCTCAAAGCACAATTGAGAATATCTTCATTCTTGCCTTGTTGCACAATGACATAACAACAACATCCAAGCCTTAATTCCAAAAGAATTCGGGGTCAGCTAACATGTATCGATTCATGATATTGATGCCAAAAAGAGAAGACAAAAAAATGGATAAGATAAAGATAAATAAATATAAGAAAACAAAAGATAAAAAGATTAAAGAGCATAGAAAAGCTAGAAGATAAAAATTACATAAAAACATAAAAAGATAAAGAAGATAAATGATACAAGAAAAAGAGAGAGAAAAGATAGATTATATGTTTGTGTCTTCGTATTTAAATATAGTACTATCCTCCGTTTTTTAATCGCAACATGTTGACTTTTTGCATTGTTCACATGATCTACTTTTGACGACATTTTACACTATTATTTTATGGTAATTATATATTTTTTTAATTTTTTTTTTTGATGATGATGATGATCTCAAAGCACAATTGAGAATACCTTCATTCTTGCTTTGTTGCACAATGACATAACAACAACATCCAAGCCTTAATTCCAAAAGAATTCGGGGTCGGCTAACATGTATCGATCCATGATACCGATGCCAAAAAGAGAAGACAAAAAATGGATAAGATAAATAAATATAATAAAATAAAAGATAAAAAGATCAAAGAGCATGAAAAAGCTAGAAGATAAAAATAACATAAAAACATAAAAAGATAAAGAAGATAAACGATAAAAGAAAAAGAGAGGTAAGATAGATTATATGTTTGTGTCTTCGTATTTAAATATAGTACTATCCTCCGTTCTTTTAGTCGCAACATGTCGACTTTTTGCACTGTTCACATGATCTACTTTGACTACATTTTACACTATTATTTTATGGAAATTATTTTTTTAAAAAAATATTTTTCAATGCATCTCATTACAAATTTTCAAAATCACATTTTTGATATTTTTTATTAATAGAGATTAAGATATACTTATGGTCAAATGTGTGCGGTGGCAAATGTGCAAAGGTTGACCGTTGCAACTAAAAAAGAACGGAGGAAGTATTACAGAAGTACTTTTGTATGAGGGTGTGTTTGTGTGAACCTGCACTGGTTAAACTTTCAAAAAAAATCTACAAAAGTGAGTGTATTAGCATTGCCACACGGTTATTTTACTTGCAGACTTTGCAATCGAAGTAAACTTCCAGTCTGACTTGTAAGCGCTATAACTTAGACATACATCTGAACTTTTAACACTTAAAGTTGACATAAACGCTATTGTTGTGTTTTTGGCATATCCTCATATTCAAGGACCTGGTATTTACATCTTTGGATGCATTTCAATAATGGAGCAGTTCCAATAGTATTATTTTTTATTTGATTAAAAACCTTCTATCCCAGAGAATGGATGAGTTGGAAGACCCAAAGGAAACACCAGAGGAGATGGCTTCAAACTTCACCTGTAGGATGCTACAATCACCACAAGAAGTTCTCAAGGGTGCTAGGCACATGGTAAAGCCCTTACAAGTTTCTCCCATATGACATGCTTTTGTTGTGGTTACTAATGTGAGGATCTATTGTAGGCAGCAGTTGAGATTAACTGTGAACCCAGTGTCCGGAAATATGTCCGTTCTGTATATATGATGGATGCTGTAGTATCTACATCCCCTACTCCGGAAGGGAATACAGCTATTGATCTTTTTCATCAATTTGCAAGGGTGAAGTGGCTCAAGGACAAGCCACTTTCGAAATTTGATGATGCAGAATGGCTTCTCATACAGAAGGCTGAAGAGGAGAAGCTCTTGCAAGTTACTATAAAGCTGCCAGCTTTACCCCTTGAGAAGCTTTGTTCAGAAGCCAGTGAAAATTACCTTAGTGAATGTGTTAGTAAATCTGCTCAGTTGTGGAATGAACAAAGGAAGTTGATACTTGAAGATGCAATCCACAATATGCTTTTACCATCAATGGCTAAAGAAGCACGTTTGATGTTGTCAAGCAGAGCAAAGAATTGGCTACTTTCAGAATACGGTCAGCTTTTATGGAACAAAGTATCTGTTGGTCCAGTTCCGCGAAGAGAAAATGGTGGTAGCCCCTCAGATGAGGATGCATCACCAAGGGTTATGGCTTGCTGTTGGGGGCCTGGAAAGCCAGCAACCACTTTTGTGATGTTGGATTCATTTGGAGAAGTTTTAGATATCTTGTATGCAGGGTGTCTCAGCCTTCGTGGTATGAATGTTAATGATGAGCAGAGAAAGAAAAATGACCAGCAAAGGCTTTTAAAGTTTATGATAGATCACCAACCTCACGTGGTTGTTTTAGGAGCTGTAAATTTGTCTTGTACACGTTTGAAGGAGGATATTTTCGAGGTATGGTGTACCTACTTTTTAAATCTAATTACACTATATATCCTGAAGTCATATTATGCCTGGTGTCATTAGATTGCTTCACCATGGTGTATATTGTGTATTTTGATTTTTTTATATGGTCTTATCACTTTGTCACAGCTCATTGTCTCGAAAAGGGTTCTCAACCTATGTTGCGTCTTTTGCAGATTATTTTTAAGATGATTGAGGATAATCCGAGAGAAGTTGGTCATGAGATGGATAATTTAAACATTGTCTATGGAGATGAGTCCCTTCCCCATCTCTACGAGAACTCACGAATTTCTTCTGACCAGCTTCCTGCTCAGCCCGGTAAACTCATTGTGCATTCATAGTAGGTCATTTATACAAAACTGAAAGAGAAGCTTACCTTTGTGCCCTGAAAAATTTCAGGTATTGTGAGGCGCGCCGTGGCTCTTGGGCGTTACCGTCAAAACCCTTTAGCAATGGTTGCTTCGCTTTGTGGGCCAGGGAGGGAGATCCTATCCTGGAAGCTAAGTTCAATGGAAAACTTTCTCACTCCTGATGAGAAGTATGGAATGGTTGAACAAATCATGGTCGATGCTACTAACCAAGTTGGCCTAGATCTTAATTTGGCTATAAGTCATGAGTGGTTATTTGCTCCTCTTCAATTTGTATCTGGGCTTGGACCCAGAAAGGCAGCCTCACTTCAAAGATCTTTGGTCAGACAACAAACGATATTCATCAGAAAGGACCTGTTGACGGAACAGTACCTTGGTAAGAAGGTGTTCATCAACGCAGTTGGTTTCCTGAGAGTCCGGCGAAGTGGGTATGCATCTAACAGTAATACATATATTGACTTGCTGGATGATACAAGGATACATCCAGAATCTTACAGTCTTGCACATGAATTGGCCAAAGATGTGTATCTCAAAGATATTGGCGAAGATAAAGCTGACGATGATGAAGTGCTGGAAGCGGCTATCGAGCATGTAAGGGAGAATCCCAAATTACTAAGAAGTGTTGACCCTTATAAATATGCAGATGCTAAGCAGAGAGTTAGTAAAAAGGAAACCCTGAATGATATAAGACTTGAGCTGATGGAAGGATTTCAGGATTGGCGAATACAATATACACCGCCCAGCCAAGATGATGAGTTTTACATGATTTGTGGGGAGACCGAGGAAACATTGTTCGAAGGAATAACAGTACAAGCAACTATTCGCAGGGTCCAACCTCAGAAAGCTATATGTTCCCTTGAAAATGGTTTGACCGGCATACTCATGAAGGAAGACTCGCCGGATGCTTGGAAGGATATAGATGACTTGACAGAAAAGTTGCGTGCAGGCGAAGCATTGACATGTAGAATCAAGTCAATCAATAAGAATAGATACCAGGTGTTTCTGAGTTGCAAAGAGAATGATATGAGAGGTTACCGCTTCCTTAATAATAGGTACATGAGTGATTTCTACTGTGAAAATCACAGCAGCTTAGAGAATATACAAGAAAAAGCTCGCAAAGAGAAGGAGCTCACAAAGAAGCATTTTAAGCCAAGGATGATTGTCCATCCGCGTTTTCAAAACATAACAGCAGATCAAGCAATGGAGGTATTCCCTTGCATACACTTTCAAATGGGTTTCTTTAAATTCAATATATTCCACTAGGTTTATTCTTGATTGGTTCAAGTACTCAGTGTCTTTTGTTTGTGCATGTTTAATGCAGTTTCTATCTGCCAAAGAACCTGGTGAAAGTATCATACGCCCTAGTTCCCGTGGTCCCTCTTTCTTAACTTTAACACTCAAAGTTTATGACGGTGTTTATGCTCACAAGGATATAGTGGAAGGTGGAAAGGAACACAAGGATATTACAAGCCTGCTCCGCATAGGAAAGACTCTGAAAATTGGGGATGACACATTTGAGGATTTAGACGAGGCAAGCCTCCTTGACTACCTAATCCGGATCTCTTCATACTTTGGGTTTATGTTAGGCTCTATTGTAGCTTGAATTCTATGATTGGGTTGACTTAACCCGCGCATAAAATACATCTTCAATTGATCTAATCAGCGGCCCAGTAATTAAATGATTACACTTTTCATTTGTTAAAATTTTAAAGAGTCAATTCACTGATAGTCTGGTACCGTTTTTGCTCTGTAAGCCTAACGAAAAATAGTTTATAATAGTTGTTCGCTATTTGAACACTATATATTCTCCTTTATAACTTTGACGCGAAAAATGTTATACCATGGAAATTGAAGGAATTTTTGAAAGGTTAACCATGCATAACCATGATAACACACTTTGACACTTGACACACTTCGCACACACACATTAAAGCTTGATCATCACCATGGTGATTCCCACATATACACGTACACACACACACACACAACCACACATACATGCAGATATGCAAGTGTGCATGTAACATTGTTTAGGTTTATTGCTTAGGCAAAGCTTAATATGAATATACTAATTGTTGTAGACTTGTAGCTTTCAGTATAGGCACTCTCACTGTTGATTGTTCTGTTTTAAGGTTTGATTGCTTATGCTGTATTATAAGCACAAAATAGATGCCCACTCATTATTTGACTTTGTGTAAAATCAAATCTCATACTCTAAGACGACAGGTAATGGACCGTTACGTTGATCCATTGGTTGCTCATCTGAAGGCAATGCTGAACTATCGAAAGTTCAGGAAGGGCACTAAAGCAGAAGTTGATGAACTACTACGCATTGAAAAATCTGAGAACCCAATGAGGATTGTCTATTCTTTTGGTATATCTCACGAACATCCAGGCACTTTCATTCTCACTTATATTAGAAGTTCCAACCCACACCATGAATATGTGGGTATGTATCCCAAGGGGTTCAAGTTCAGAAAGAGAATGTTTGAGGATATTGACCGTCTTGTGGCATATTTTCAAAGACATATTAATGATCCACCAGACTCTGCACCATCAATACGATCAGTTGCTGCAATGGTCCCGATGCGAAGCCCTGCCAATGGCGGTGGCTGGGGTGGTGGTTCATCAAATGACGAGAGGGGTGGCGGTTATAGACATGGAGGTAACCTCTCAGAATACTGGGTCTGTATGGAACTGAAAAATGCTAGTGAAAGAAAAAAGATCTGAAACTATAGGGTAAATTGGAGAAGGCTACAAATTGATTTTATTTTTCTTTGGTGACTATAGTGACTACTTAGAAATCTGAGTATATGTAAAAAAACTAGAATTTACCCCCTTTAAGGATGTTTTTGCTTGGACTGTAATCTGTCCCAGACCAAACCAAACCAGTTCAGACCAGACCAGACCAGCAAATTACAGTCCAAGTAAAAACATCCTAATATGACTTAGGGCCTGTTTGGTAAAACTGCAAAAGTTAATCAGAAAGGAAAGGTATTAGGTTTCCACATAAATTTCAGCCAAATAAAAAAAGGGAAAATAACTTCAAGTAATATCATCTATTACCGTAAACCAATAATAATGTAATACATACTATAGAAATAACTATTGCACAGCCCACCTATTCAAATATATAACAAAATGATATGGAACCGCTTCCTGACCTCAAATTTGGTGATTAAAATAATCACAAGCTTATACCAAACCATCAAATTAAGCTTATTTGATAGTTAAGTATCATGTTTTGATAGGTTCAATGTCCGGATTTGGTGTCAAAAGTTGCTCTGTATTATTTTTATTATATATATTTGAATAGTTGGGGTATAAATTAGTTATTTCTATAATATGTATTATTGTTGATATTATCTAAAGTTATTTTCCCAATAAAAATAGAAAACTACTTGTTCTACTTAATCTGGTTATTCTCCTGATGCCAAAATAAGCTGGTTGTAGTAGCTACCAGACAGAGCCTCAACTGACTGAAGGAAAGAAGAGAACCAAAGTACTACTGGTCACTTTTTTTTACTGTCTGGTTGATAATAACAGGTCGGGGTGATAGAAATGGGGGCGGTCAGGATGGATTGCCGCCAAGACCTTTCGGTGGGCGAGGAAGAGGCCGAGGCCGTGGCCGTGGCCGAGGATCTTATGATAATAACAGAGGAAACAATGACGGGCAAGATTCAGATTATGGCTCCCATAGATGGGGTGGTTCCAAAGACGGTGGTGATAATGGAGGTGGAAGTGGAGCATGGGGAGGAGGGAATACATCTGATGTCGGAGGAGGTGGCTGGAGCAGCAACAGTGGTGGAGGGGGAGGCGGCGGCTGGGGCAGTGATGCAGGCAGTGGCGGCGGTGCAGATGCTTCTGGCTGGGGCGGCAACAAAAAAGATACCCCCGACTCACAAGTGGGTGGCAGTGGATGGTCTGGAAACAATGGCACCGGCAGTGCCTGGTAAAAAAACGAAATGTACAATGTTTTTCCTTTTTTTGTTAGTTCATGTCACTGTGTCAGGTTAGCAAATATGGGCGAATGTGTCTCCTAGTTTTCGAGGCAACGATTGAATTACTTGCCTGTAATTGTTGCTGGACTTTTTTTATTGACCTCTCCCTCCCCATATTACATAACAGTCTACTGATTTTTGAAATTGAATCCATTGAGCTTTCAAACTTGAGTTCTCAAAATTTTCATTCCCAATTAAAGAAATGCCAATACACAGAAGCTTGACACGTTGGCAAAAAATGACAGCCGAAATGCCTCTAGCTCTTTTTTTCCTTCTCTGCATCTTCATAGAATAGAAAAGCCAGTCGATGTCTACTGGCTTGCTCCTATGTGAGGATCTTTCACACAAAAACAGCCGATTTGGCTCACGTTTTTTCATTAATAATTTTCAATTGTTCAGTATGTCTAATATCTTTAGCTAGAAAAAGAGCGTATTGGATTAAATATTAAATTTTCGTTCAACCAGAAGATCCATTTAGTAATTTAGTGGCACAAATTGTCATATTGATTAATATGTATTTCTTACATGAGAGGGATTTGAAATCTATCATGACCTCATGGTAATGGATAAACTTAGATGTGAAATAAATAACTATATAAAAGCTAGCTAACGAATCATTTCTTCACGCGTTAATGTATTTAGAAAACATGACATTTTTAAATTAATAACGGATTGAGCAGGTGTCAAGACTCAAGATCCTGAACATTTCTTTTTAATGTTATCTACTAAATTGGATAAAATCAGCGGCTATCTTTAAATGATGCTCTTTAAATCTGGCGTAGCATATAAGCCAGAACCCCAACAGAATCAACTTTTTGAATCTTGGATTGATGGATTTTGATGGACTCTTGTCTTTAAGTTGCCAAATTGACAATTTCTGTTTCTTTCTTTAACCTACAATGCACGTCACTGGATGTTAGTTTTTCATCCTTGGGTCCTAGTTTATAAAAAGTTTCTATATAATTGTCTTAAATCATAGTTTGATGGACAATGCACGTCACAGGATATATGCATTTTGCATAACAACCTCGTTCTAGATTTTATCGTAGTTGTCTGAATTTGAACCTGAAACAGTCTCTTTTGCACTATCAAGCGACGCTTCCCAATTATTCAAAGACAGATAATAGATTATAGCGTAGTAATTTATATTGTTAGAGAATAATTATATTTGAAACAGAAGAAGTGTTTCTAAATAAATGGATCTTATTGTGAGACTGATAAATATTATTTATCTAGGTGATGTTCCAATAAGAAAAAGTCTTTATATGAAAAATAAAAATGAATCTCAATCATTGGTATTGACTATGTTGCAATAAAAAAACTTCATGTTGCACTGAAATGTGGAACATAGCATGGTGACATTTTTGTGAGAATTTCTAAAAAATCCGTATTATATTTGTGTAGTGCAACATAAAACCATTTCGATGCAATATTGTCAAATTTTAGTGCAACATTGCAAAATTTGAATCTCACTGTAACATAACTATTTTTAGTGCAACATCGTGAATCTACTAATTGGAATTCATTTTTCATTTCTTTCATTAAATGCATTTCTCACTTGAATCAAAATATATTCGATCTATTTTCCATATATTTTTCAAAGAAGTTTGTGGGAGAATGGGGATTATCCCATTACATCTTTGTGCTCTTATGAAAAGCAAAAAGGACAAGAAAGAGAAGAAGCAGAGTTGACAAATGGAATAATTGAAAATTCATTGGCACCATTACAATGGAAGCAATGTCGTCCTTTGAACTTTCACAATGGGTTCATCAAAGATATGATTAAAAGTAATTATAATAAATCCACTACGAATGATCTCTAAACTGTTCAAATCCATTGAAGGTTAGTGGGATATTTTATTGCCTTATCTCCACAGAAAAAGTAGAAACCCTCACAATTCACACGGAAAACATTCGACTTTTTTTGGTGAGTAGAGAGTGTCAAATGGCACATACTTTGTCTATCCAATTCTTATATTATGATTTTCTTTTTTTACCCATGTTTTTTTGGTCAATTGGCAATACTTAAAAGATCAGATCATATTAACAATTATATTTTTCGCAAAAAAAAAAAACAATTATATTAGATGAACAATTGAGTTCATGACTATTACATTTTGTGTCTAAACATTTTTTTTCTCTTATTGAACAAACTTATTAAAAAGTAAATTATATGATTACGATTGATTTACAAAAATAATACTCCGTATAAAGCGCAAACCTTTTGATAGTAGTATTTTTTTGAGTATCTTGTAAAGGAAAACAAGAAGAGTAGGAATAATTGCACAATAAATGAAGGGTTACTTGGAATAATTGCACAATAAAAATTTGACTTTCTCTACTAGGTGAAAGTAGGAATATATACTACGTAATAAGTAACAAGCATCACCCTAAATTTGTCTCTCCAAAAAAAACCACCATATGAATGTATGTCACTGCATGTAGATGAGTTTAAAATAAGAAACACTACCTCCGTCCCAAAATGAAGTATTCATTTGATCTTTTGCTTTATATATCAAATTTTTATCAAATTAATTTTTTTTTATTAGACTTTGTAAAACTTTTAGTGTAGATTCTGAATATGTATATTTTATTTATTAAAAGTAGTTTCAGTGTGAACATGAATCGGGTTGCTTTATCATCAATCAAACATCGTAAACCAAAATGAGAACTTCTTTATGGAATGGGGGGAGTATTTTGTAAATTAAATTTGGATCAGGATCATGTTCCTTGCGCATTGGACGGTTAGGCAGCGGCGAAGACGGTCTCGAGATCGGCGAGAGAGTGGACCTCAAGATCTCCAACCGTTGAATTTTCGATCAAACGAGTGAACGACTGTGAAGAAGTAAGACACTCTACCTTACTATAAAGAAGTGTTTGGAATCAATTCTGATTCTGCTTCTTTTTTATAACAGAAGCAGAATCAGTTTTCAGAAGTTGGTCTCCTTCAGCTTCTAAAAAACCCACTTCTAGGAGTAAATTAGAGCACCAGAAGTACTTTTGCACTTTCATCCAAACACCCCAACTTCTGCTTTTTTTCTCTGAAGATTTTAAGAATTAGATCCAACCACCCTAAAAGTAAGGAAGAGGCTCCGGTTCCATATATTTTAGATGAATTATTGCCACTATTTTACTGACTTAGTCACCGTGACTTACACCTTTTGGATCAATGTAGATGAGTTATTATGATTTATGACAACCCGGATAAGTAATTTTTCACAAATGAACTTTTAAAAAGATGAGCTGTAAAAGAGGCAGCCCCTCTTAGAACAGTAATATGGTGCTTGCTACTTTAAATATAGAAAAAGAGGTGGGCTTTCGGTAGATTCATCCCCCCCGCCCCACATTTTAAATTTCACATGGTACGGCAGTGCCCTTATAATTTGGACAGGACATGTTTAACCAGCTTAGTTGTCACTTTGTCAAAAAGAGTAAAACTTCAACTACCATTTTTCAAGATTTTGATGGCGATTTATTCTTGCAAAAAAGAACCCAAAGCTCCACCGTTATCCTCATCAAGTTTCAAAATTTAAACAAAAAAGAGGAAACTTTTGTCAAAAGAACAGTAGTAGATTTTGCCAAACCCAAAAAAAAGTTACTGCTCCACAGACCACACAGTACACTCTTCCCAAATTCCAATCCAACCCCAGGAAAGAAACAATTTTTGATTTGATTGCACCATATTCTGCATTCTCTAACCCGAAGACAAAAAAGGGGAAAAATTCCCTCTCTCCACAGTGCAGAGAGGAAAAAAGAAAAGCAGAAGGAGAAGACAGCTATGGATAGACTCTCACCAAATTACAAAGGGTGTACAGATTAGAGAACCCAGAAAAAAGAAGCCCACATTGTCGTTACAGCAAGACTTTGTTTCGTTGTTCATCACCATGGGAAAGACGGAGGGTGAAGAGCCCTTACCCATGGCTGGACAGGGTGAGCTGGAAACAAACCGAGGTAGGGAGAATAGGAGCTGCAGGAGAATCTGCGGGATGGTGAGTTTCAGATGTGTTTTTGCTCTGTTTCTTGGTGCTGGTGTGCTACTCTCTGCTCTTTTCCTGCTCCCATTCTTCCCCCACCGAGATCCAAAGGGTCTAGATCTGGATTCTAGGTTTCGAGGTACTTTTCTTGATGCTGGTTTGGTTTGTCAATTACTGCAGTTTTTTGGAGTTCATGCAGATCTCAATTGAAGCTTGGTTTCTGTTCTTGATTTTGTTTATGGGGGTTTCCACTAATTTCGAATTCGTGTATCTTTATATTTCAAAAAATGAAATTCTCACTTGGCTTGCTCTATGCGGACTGGATTTCAAAACTTATGCATGGGTTTAATTATTTTTTATTTTGGTATCGTGTTAAGCTGTAAAGTTTTCAGAGTAACAGTTTCCATTTCAATTTAATGCCCAGACAGGGAACACATACATATACATATTAAGAAAGTAAGACTATTTCAAAGTCAGTTGCTTGTTACTAAAAGCTTATTAGGGAAATGGTCCATAAATAAGATGCCTGACCTCAAACTGGAAAAAAAGCAATACATCTCCTCCTAATTGGCAAACAATTTTCTTTCAGTGATGAAATGTGTATTTGACACTCAGTGACCTAGGGTTTAGAATATCTAGAATTAAGTGGGGTGGGATGGGATGGAATGAGGATGATTTTTATTAATGTGTCTATACCTTTGTATGATTGACATTCTAATTTAAAGTCCCCATTGTAAGAAAACCCTTTTATGGCTTGATTATGTCAGCATCTTTCTACATTATCCCCTTCTTGATTAAGTTTTGTGTGTGTATTTTATATGAATCATTTTCAGGGCATGAGATCGTAGCAAGCTTTATGTTGGAGAGACCTGTTTCACTATTGGAAGATTATATAATGCAACTTGAAGATGAAATTTTGGATGAAATAAGCGTATCCAACACCAAAGTATTAATTTTCCCTCAACCCTTCTAGCTCTTAATCATCTCTTTCTATTTCCAATAATAATTATCTATCATCATCTTATGAATTACCAGGTGGACATACTATCTTTAGAAACTTCAGCCTTAATATCAAATGAAACAAAGGTTGTCTTTGCTGTTGATTCTGACGTCAAAAGTAGGATGAGTATTCCCCCGACAGCTAAAAGCATAATTCGCGACAATTTTGAATCAATACTTGTTCATCAGTCAACTATGCACTTGACTACGGATTCTCTTTTTGGGACCCCATTATCATTTGAGGTTCTGAAATTCAAAGG